AAAAAAAAAAGAAATCCAAAATCGGAAATATTGGATCTTACTATGTGCCCACTACTCGACTCGTGTTAGCTCCGGTCTCGTTCCCTCCAAAAGCTCTAGCCAATCCGAAATCCGATATCTTTGGGTTCATTTCGGAGTCCAGCAATATGTTGCTAGCCTTGAGGTCTCTATGTATGATTCGTAAACGCGAGTCTTGATGGAGATACATTAGGCCACGAGCAATGCCGTTGATAATGTTGAGGCGTATAGGCCAATCTAATAACGTGCTTTCATATGGATCTTCCGAATACATGAGATGCAAGTCATTTTTGAGTGAAAATGTAGAAGTAATTGATGTGATTGTGTTAGGGAGGAGCAATTCTTCTTACCGAACAAAATCAAGTCAAGGCTTTTGTTGGTCATGTATTCATAGAGCAACATATTTTCTTCGGCTTGTGTGCAGTAACCCAAAAGCTTCACTAAATTTCGATGCTGGAGTTTGGCAATGCACACGACTTCATTCTTGAACTCGTCCACTCCTTGATGAGAAGTTCTTGATAGCCGTTTAACAGCAATTTCTTGCCCGTTTGCTAGCACGCCCTTGAACCATATATATTCAGAAACATAGTTAAGATACTCACACAATATAATCCGGTACGAAAACTACTTAGGCCAATATAATACTCTTAACAAACCAAAGGCTTTTGCTTGAGAAGGTTAGAGTATGAATCTTGCTTCTTTATACTAAGAACTTTACTTGAAAACTATACTCTGTACTGCATGTACCTTATAAACAGGTCCAAAGCCACCCTCTCCAAGCTTATTAGTGATTGAAAAATTATCAGTAGCTTCAACTAGTGTGCATATATCAAACAAAGGTAACTCTAAGTCCTTGTCGTGAATTTGATTGTAACGACTGTTTACATTGTTGCGTCCTACATGAGCTCCTGCAAACACGAGCAATTTAGAAGATACTATATACTGATTATAGGTGTAAAAAGCAAACCGAAAAAGAAGGTAAAAATGTATTATTACTAACCTCTTATTCTCGCGCTTCGACCCGCGATTTTCTTCCTTATGTGGTAATACAACATGAAGCTAAGGCCCATCACAACTATTACCACCACCAGCAACAAACTCACTATAAGAATTTCTTGCTTCCTTCCTTTCACTTCTGCAAAACGTCTCCTGGTGTAAATCGAAAAATCAAAATTCGAAAAAACTAAAATTTGAGTCTAATCAAATCTCTTACCTAACTCAGATGAAGCCATCCTAATGTAAATATCCTGTCCCTCAGCAGACAACTCTCGAATATCAACAAGATCATCGAACCAAAGCAAACACCCGTTTTCTCCTCGGCTTATGTCCAAACTCGAATAAGCCGTACACGAACAATTCCCCAAGCAAACTTTCCTACACTCCTCAAGACTCATACTCTCATTATACCACGAATTTCTCGTATCGGGCAGCTTAACTCCCGAGTACTTCAAAAAAAGGTCACCTTTTTCGCAACTCAACGGGCTCCTCCTCACGCACCCGCCCGACCAATCGGCCCGATCCCACCCCTCTTCATCTTTGGGCTCGAATTTACTCAAACACCCACAAACAGGGGAATTCGCAACGTTACAAGTCCCGTACGGGCCGCAAAGCCCGTAAAAATCGCAGTTATCCATCGGGCAAGTCATGTACACGACCCATCCTCGGGTCCGGTCAACCCAAGTCAACCGTTGGGCGACCCCGGTTTGACTCAAGGTGAACCTCGAGATAACCGAGTCGTTGAGGAGTTCGTAGTGCGAGTAAACGGCATTCTTGTTCAAAACGAGCCCATATTTGAATATTCGATTCTTGCTTAGGCTCGGAATCCCGCTAAACCGAATGCCGTTCCACGGCCCAGTTCGGTACTCCACGAGCCCATTTTTTTCGAGCACGTTTTGAGGGTATCCCCTGAAGTCACATCGGTAGGTGAAGTCTCCGGGCGATGGGTCATCGGCATTTTTCCACGACGAGAGGTAGACTTCCAAACGGGCCGTGAAGTTCCACCCGAGCTTCATCCCAGGAAGTAAAGTGTCGGTCGGGTGATCGAAGCTTTGCCACGCGAAGCTCGACGGGTTATGATCGTCATCGTCTCGGACCACAAGATTCCCCGAGTCCAGCAACTCTGCGACGGGATGTCGAACAGGCCGAGTCGAGGCGCTTATCGTCGGAGTTGACCAAACGATGTCGTTAGTCTCATTCACGAGAACCAAGATTCCGGGCGGGTCGACCCGTAAAAACCCGGTCGAGCCTAAAACCGGGTTTTCACGATTAGCGACCCAAACGACTGTTTGAACGGGTATTTTCTTGTACCATATGCCGACGTAACGTTTTGCCGAGCTTCCGGCCGGGCTGAAGAAGCCAAGCTCGAAATTGCCGCCGGACGAGAGGAGGGTATTTCCGTCTTTTAGGATCTGACCGGATGTTATTGTATCCATTGCTAAGGAGATTCTAAAGATTAACAGCAAATAGAAACTACATGAATGGAGTATGGTTTTCATTGTACTGGATTTGTAAACAAAGTCTGTAAAATCATAATAGCCTATATAAATATACATAAAGCTACATGACAATTATATATGCTATTAAGGTTACTATTTATAAGCTGTTAAGTAACTGTTCGGACAATCATACTTTTATTTAACACTTCTGTAACAAATATGCATATATTCAAACTGAAATGTCGACATCGTAAATAAAAGTACAATATTTCATATCATAAGTGTGCAGTTTTTGGTAAAAAAGTATAATGAGTCGATCCGTCTAATGGTTAGTTAGTCTCATAGGTATTGCTTTCAACTTTCAGAGTTCAGACAAAAGGTCACATTTTCTGTGGTGGTTTGCTCAAGATAGACGGCCTTAGTTAGGTCCACACTGTTAGGACTTATTTGATTTATTTATGGTTGAGAACTAATAAAGACCACTTATTTTTTTCTCTGAAAAGTTGACCAAGTCAACCGGCTAAATTCCTTGTTCCCATCATTGTGTGGACGAGAAATTGATCGCAGTCAACGCAGATTGATTTTTCTGGCATGGTGTCTATAGACATGGCCAGTCAACCGTGACCCAGCCCGGCCTGCCGGGCCTCTCATTGGTGACCCTTAACCGGCTCGTCAAAAATAAAGGGCCGGTGCCCGGTCTCGGAACACCGGGACAAAAGAAAAAAAAACTGAACCGAACACGGCCCGTAAAGCCACGGTGCCGGTTCTCGGAACTGGTAACCTACGGGCCGGTTGTGGGCCGGTAGTGGGCCGGGCCGGCACGGCCCGTGGCCATGTCTAGGTGTCTAGATTAAGGGGTGATTGTTTACCAATTCAACTAAAAAAAAACTAATCAAAACTCAAATTTAATTCAACTTTAGCCCAACCACACTATCTTCAAAATTATCACTATAATTAAATAATATCAATTAATCATTCATGCATATCACATCAACTTTAATTCAGTATTCATCTCCTCACATAATTTTAACTAATCATTACTTTCAATTATTTTTCTCATACTTTACATCAAATCAACTTTAATCATTTTATTTAAATATTATTTTAATATATCCACTAACGACTAACCATATAATTTTTTAAAAAATTAACTATAGTTAAAAAAACAACCAAATAATAACTAGTTCAATCCATAAACAATTACTCCTAAGTGAACTTAGGAGGATGTACAATAGAAAAATCTACTAGGTGCCTGTGTGATTTATTGATATTATGATATATGAATTTCGGTGTAAATTAATCGTGTACTAATTAAAACACATTAGTATTCGATATTGTGCATTTGCACATATATAAATAAAATATTATAAATTATGTATATACATACAATATTAATATTATAAGTTAAATAATGATATTAATTTTAAAAATAGAGTACTATATGTTATGCATATAATATTAAAAATTTTAAATATATTGCAGAACTATTTTGGAGGAGAGTTTTATTTTATGGGATTTGATGTTTTCAAAAAATTTGATGTATCTTTGTAATATTCGAAAATTATTATTATTATTATTATTATTATTATTATTATTATTATTATTATTATTATTATTAGATAACTGCAAGAGAAAATAGAGATATTTGTAATCATTGTTAATTAGTTGTGAAAATCTATACTTATATAATACCAAAATATATATAGTACCAAAATAAATAAAAAAAAACAAAAATATTTCGTATTTCAAGACATAAAATGTGTTAGGAAATGAGCATCATCATCTAAAAAGAGACGTGTCAAAATAAATTGTGTAACTGAAAATTATGTATTTTATTAAATGGTGAACATATTTTTATTAAATGAACACAGTTTTATTAAATGAACTACTATTATTAGTAATTGTTGGCTGAATAAAATTTATAAGTTCGCCAACAATTATATATATAGATAATAAATAATGAAGTATTTCTATGTAATGAGTTATGTGTTGTTGGAAAAATGCAGTATTACTAATAACTATTTGCAGAGTTATAGCATAGTGGATTACAAAAAATCTATTGAATCATCGGATGGTTTTCTTATGGAGTCATCCATCACTTAATATATTGACACATGCCTAAAGTATGTTTATTGTAGGACACATGTAAATACACTATTTGTGAATAAGCGTGGATGACTCCATAAGTCGTGTCATCCGATGGCTCCATAGCAAAACTGAATCACTGAGTCAACTTTAAAATACTATATTGGAGTGTCCATTTTTTGTTTGATCTCAAGTCATGTAAGTCTAGGGGTGGTATCGGTTCGTTTACCGAACAGATAAGCGTATACCGATACCGTAGCGATAATGTCGGTAACCTCGGAATGAAAAACCGATACCGAATCGATTAAAGTCGGTTACCCAAAATTCGGTAACCGAAAACTCGGTTCGGTTTCGGTTCGATATCGGTTTTATACCAAAAAAACCGAACTGATTTTGAGCAAAAAAAAAATAAAAAAATACTAGTGTTTACTTTTCTTGTCATTTTTGTAATTTTTTCACCTCTTACCAATTAAATACACACAAAATAATCACAAATCCATTGAAGGATTAAAAAGTTTAAATTTAATATACAGAAGTTAATTTAAATATAATTATATTATGGTTTTTGTGGTAAACGCAACTAATAAAACAATATTGCTAACATGCAAGAAATAAAATTTGTGATACAACTTTAACTAACTTATCTAGTAACAGTGGTACGAGAATAAACTACAATCACGGTAGCATCTTTTTTAGAAGGAGTGAGACTGGTAAACTGACAATCTTCTGATTAAAAGGTGAATGAGGCGATGAGTAGTGTATTTTTCTCGTCATTTTGGGATTTAGGTAGGATTGAACCCTTATTTAAATTTGTGAACACTAAACATCTAATCCTTCTTTTAATATTTTAAAAAAAAAAATCTTTGTTTTAATTTTTTTTTTACCTTATCGGTTTTACCGAACTCTTATGGGTTCAAACCGATACCGTACCAATAGTGATTCGGTAACCGATAGTCGGTTACCGTTACAAGCGATTCGGTACGGTTCGATTTATTTCTCGTCCGTTTGGTTTGGTTCGGTTCGATTTATTATGTGAACTAAAGTAAAACAGTCTTTATGCATTGTGGATGATCTTATTAGATGTCATACAAAATTAATCTGAATTTGGGATTATAAAGAGGCAAAAAATATTTTTTTTTTTTAAAAAAAATTTATGAGTGGATACAAGTTAAAATATAACGTAAACCGAAAGAAAAAGAAAAAAAAAACTAATAAGTTTTGTAGTGGATATAGTTTTTAATCTCATATTATTTTAGCCTAATTATAGTATAACTAGTATTTGATCTTGTGCATTTGCACAAATATAAAATACGTTTTTATTTGTATTTATTAATTAGACATGTACTTCTATCTAGAGATGTTAAACGGTCCTTGGCCCGACTGGCCGGCCCATTTAGCCTGGAAAAAAACAGGGCTAAGGCTTTTTATTAGTAACCCGTTTAAATCAGGGCTTTTTAGGCCCAGACCGTTTAAACCGAAGCCCGTTAGGGCTAGCCCGAAACCCGTTAGGGCTGGCCCGTTAAACTTGAGTTGGGCGTTTTAAATATTTGCAGCAAGTAAGTAATATGCTCTTAGATTCATTGTATATTACAATTTTGCTATTTCACTTCACATTTAAGTATGAGTTGTAAGTATAAGTTGTAACGAATTATAATAATTTTGAAAGATAATTATTAACAATATTCTTATTGTACTCCACACCAAAATATTTAAGTAAATTAGAACGACTAATAGGAAACACATGAGACAAAGTCCTAACACATGAAACATAGTGATTGAATTTGTAATGATATAATATCGTAAAATTCCAAAGCCAAAATAAATAGTAAAATGGTAATTGTAAGTAATAATTCGATTTTTTTTTTCTTTTGATAAAAATATGTTATTTAAGAGTCTGTAGTGTGTGTTCATTTATGATGTGTAGTTGTATATATAGAGCGGTGCAGTGAAATATATTTCACCCGGGCTCCTTCAGCTCGACCGACCTCCGTACCTGCAAGAACCCAACGTCGGGGGTGGCCCCGGCGTCGGGCCTCCGATGCCTAAGTCAGTGCTCCATGAAGAGAGAGAAAGTGTAGTCAAAAAAATGAGTAGAGAGGATGAAAGAATGAGGTACCTTGGCCCCCTTTTATAGGGGGAGTGTACCTTTTGAGCCCAAGTTGGGCTTGATCCCTACCGTTGGGCTTAGATGTCTTAGTGGGCTTATCCTCCAATATGTATCCTCTTTATCCGTTAAACCGGGTCCAGTATAATATCCTATATCATCTAGTCCCCCCCACTCTGGTCGAGTAAGCATGACTCGATCCAAGAGTGAAAATCCCTCTTCGGATTGTTTCCGTCGACCTGCCACTGAGGTTACCATTTAAATAAATCTTCGACCCCCAAATAGTTACCAATCCTCCAAATGAGCATCGGGACTCCAAATGAATACCGAATGACCACTAATATAAAAAATCGAGTGACCCACCACTAGGGTCGAACACCGA